AAACTCCATCAAAAAGAAGAAGAAGAAGAACAGACCCAAACATGGTGGCTCATGCCTATAATTCCAGCACTTTGGGAAGCCAAGGAGGGAGGATCACTTGAATCCATGAGCTCGAGACCAGCCTGGACAACATACGGAGACCCTATGTCTACAAAAAATATAAAACTCAGTTGGACATGGTGGCACGTGCCTGTAGTCCCAGCTACTTGGGAGGCTGAGGTGAGGGGATTGCTTGAGCCCAGGAGGCTGAGGCTGCAGTGAGCCATGATCATGCCATTGCACTCCAGCCTGAGTGGCAGAGTGAGACTCTGTCTCAGAAAAAAGAAACAAACAAAGAAAGATGGGTACACACAAGCACAGACTGTGGAGATTACAATAAATAATTCTTTAATGCCCAGGCATAGACCAACATCCACAAGCATCAAGAGCATCCGTGAAAACATGACCACACAAAATGAACTAAAGAAGACATGAGTGACCAATCTCACTGTGACAGAGGTATGTGAACTTTCAGAGAAAAAATTCAAAATGGCTGTTTTGAGGAAGCTCAATGAAACGCAAGACAACACAGAGAAGGAATTCAGAATCGTATCAAATATATTTAACAAAGAAATTGAAATAATTTTTAAAAATCAAGCAGAAATTCTTGACCTGAAAAATGTAATTGACATACTGAAGAATGCATCAGATATCTTACCAGCAGAACTGATCAAGCAGAAGAAATAATTAGTGAGGTTGAAAGCAGGCTATTTGAAAATACGCAAGAAAAATTTCTTTTTTCTTGAAAAAGAAAAAAGAATAAAAAACTATAAAGCGAGAAATAAAATAAAAACAATAAAGGACAACTATAAGATCTAGAAAATAGCCTCAGAAGAACAAATTTAAGCATTAGAGGAGGTAAAGAGAGAGATCAGGATAGAAAATCTATTTAAAGAGATAGTAACAGCTCCCAAACCTGTCAATATTCAAATACAAGAAGATTATAGAATACCAAGTAGATTTAACCCAAAGAAGATGACCTCAAAGGCATTTAATAATCAAACTCCCAAAAGTCAAGGGTGAAGAAATAATTCTGAAGGCAGAAAGAGAAAGGAAACAAGTAACTTATAAGTAGCTCCAGTATATCTTGCAGCAGACTTTACAGTGGAAACCTTATAAGCCAGGAGAGAGTGGCATGACATATTTAAAGAGCTGACGGAAAAAAAACTTTCATCCTAGAATAGCATATCCAGTGAAAATATTCTGAGGTCAGGAGTTTGAGACCAGGCTGGCCAACATGGTGAAACCCCATCTCTAGTAAAAATACAAAAATTAGATGGGTGTTGTGGCGCGAACCTGTAATCCCAGCTACTCGGGAGGCTGAGGCAGGAGAATCACTTGAACCCAGAAGGTGGAGGTTGCAGTGAGCTGAGATCACGCCACTGCACTCCAGTTTGGGCGACAGAGTGAGACTGTCACAAAAACATAATAATAGTAATAATAAAAGAAAAAGGCAAAAATTCAAACAACTAAACAGAAACTGGGCAAAAGAACTGAACCAGCCCTCCACAGAAGAGGAGATATGGAGGAACGGCTAATGAAAACACGAAGAGGGTCTCAACCTAACAGGGGGAGAGATCACATGACACCACCAGACTGGCAGAAATCTCACAACCCAATCAATGCCAGTGTTGGGGAGAATGGAGAGTAGCAGGAACACCAGGCACTGCTAAGAATGGTTATGAAATATATTTTTGTTACGCTTGTATATGAAAGGGTGTATGGCCGGGCGCGGTGGCTCAAGCCTGTAATCCCAGCACTTTGGGAGGCCGAGACGGGCGGATCATGAGGTCAGGAGATCGAGACCATCCTGGCTAACACAGTGAAACCCCGTCTCTACTAAAAATACAAAAAACTAGCCGGGCGAGGTGGCGGGCGCCTGTAGTCCCAGCTACTCGGGAGGCTGAGGCAGGAGAATGGCGTAAACCCGGGAGGCGGAGCTTGCAGTGAGCTGAGATCCGGCCACTGCACTCCAGCCTGGGCGACAGAGCAAGACTCCGTCTCAAAAAAAAAAAAAAAAAAAAAAAAAAATGAAAGGGTGTGTATTGGGGGTTATGAGGAAAATTACATTTCTTACCTGGGATGAAATTTTAAAACTTGAAAGCTACTGACCCAAAGAAACTTGCACTTGTGTATAAAAGAAATGCCCAAGAACGTTCCCAGCAAAACACAGTTCTAAGGGCTCCAACCTGGCCAAACACTCACCCACAGGGACATGAAGACATTTCCCGTGCTCCCCTCAGACGACGGGAGATCACGCAGCAATGAAAATGAATCGTCAGTGTGGGTGGGTCTCAGGGGGAGAATGGAAGACAAAAACAGACATTGAGCAGATGCTCAGAGCTGTGCAGCATAGGAGCAGCCACACAGGAGAATTTCCTCACATCAAATTTCAAAACTACAGTCGAGGCAACAGAGCAAGACCCTGCCTCAAAAAGACAACAGAAAGTTCAAAAACTAAATTGCATATTTTTTAGGTGTTTAGGGATGTACGCATACACGGCGAAAGAAACGTACTATGAAGAAAAGTCCAGGAACAATAAAGACTAAAGCAGGGAGTGATTCCCTCTGTAGGAGAAGGGAAGGGACTGGGACTCAGGCAGGGCCTCCAGGGAGCATCCAAAGTTATGTCTCTTCAGATTCTATTCCCTAAACCTGGTGGAGGTCCTATGTGTCCAATGTGTCAATATTCTTTATATCTCACCCATATTTTACAAATGCTTTATTTCTATTCAATATTTAGAGGACAGTTATAAACAAGATACATTCAATAGCAAGATGGCCGATGAACATCAGGAAGGAACATCCATGAGGTTCCATCCACGGAACCTCGCCATGGATACGCTTGTGATCAAGGGCCTGGTCTCCCCTCAAGGCACAGTCAGAGAGCAGAGGCCGCACCATCATAGCAGGGGAGCAGGAGCAGCTGGGACAGGGTCCTTCTGTGACACCTGCTGCATCACCAGGCTGTGTGAACGGACTCAGCTGCCAGAACTCACAGAACATCAGTATCAGCACCGAAACCTCACAGGAAAAACAGTAAGTTCTAAGTTTCTCCATTAATAGTAACTCTCAGATTTATCTCTGTCATCCATCGCTTCTCCAAGAAATAACTTTTTATAGCTTTGCATGGGTCTATTTTTCAATTTATATTTTATTTTACTGATTGAAAAGATAAATATTGTGTGGTGTGTGATTTTGTCTCCGTCAGTCAGGATAATCATAGTTTTACTTCTATTATTATTATACCAATATCACTTAGGTTTTTTTAAGCTTTTCAATTCCTGGGGGTATTAATCAGGGTCTTTCTGTCTCGTGAGACAGAAAACAAATCCAAACTGTGTAAGAGAAAAAGGAATGTATTGATCACAAGGACTGAGAAGCTCCCAGGCTTAACTTGCTTGGGATTCAACTACATGTACAGTTTCAAGTGGGGTCCTGTAACACTCTCTCTCTCTCTCTCTCTCTCTCTCTCTCTCTCTCTCTCTACTTCCCCAGCATCGGCTCCATGTTTAGCTCCACGAACTTCAGACTTAAACAGCATCACTGGCTCCTGCCCAGGATTCCAGCTCCACGAACCTCAAACTAGAACACCAGCCTGGCTTCTCTGCAGGTCTCCAGCCCCAAAACCTAAGACATCAGTGGCAGTACAAACACCTCCCAGGGACTCCAGCTCCGGGACCCTCAGACTTCAACCACAGCACCAGCTCTTCCCCGGATCTCCAGCTCCATGACCCTCAGACTTAAAAAAACAGCAGCACCAGCTCATCCGTGAATCTCCAGCTCCACGATCCTCCAACAAGAAACACACCAGCTCCTCCCCGGGTCTCCAGCTGAATGACCCTCAGACTAGACCAACACCACTCACCCCTGGATCTCCAGCTCCGCAAACCTCACACTAGAGCAGAAACACCAGCTCCTCCGCGGGTCTCCAGCTTTACAACCTAAGACATCAGTGGCAGCTCCGGCTCCTCCCAGGGGCTCAAGCTCCGGGTCCCTCAGACTTGAACTGCAGCACCAGCTCTTCCCCGGATCTCCAGCTCGATGACCTTCAGACTCAAACAATAGAAGGACCAGCTCCTCCCTGGGTTTCCAGCTCCATGACCCTCAACTAGAACACCATCAGCTCCTCCCTGGATCTCTAGCTGCACGAAACTCACACTAGACACCAACTCCGGCTCCTCCGCAGGTCTCCAGCGCCACAACCTAAGACATCAGAGGCAGCACTGGCTCCTCCCATAGATTCCAGCTCCGGGACCCTCAGATTTGAACCACAGGACCACCTCCTCCCCAGGTCTCCAGCTGCAGGGCCCTGAAACGAGAATATCAGCTCCTCCCTGGGTGTCTAGCCGCACGCCCCTCAAACTAGAACATCAGCTTTGTCCCGGGTTTTCAGCTGCCCGACACTCAAACTAGAAAAACAACAGCTCCTCCCTGGGTCTCCAGCTCTACAACCGTCAAACTAGAACAATATCAGCTCCTCTCCAAGTCTCCAGCTCCACGGCTCTCAAATTAGAACATCAGCTCCTTCCCAGGTCTCCAGCTGCATGACCCTCAAACTAGAAAAACACCAGTTCCTCCCTGGGTCTCCAAGCTCCATGACCCTCAATCTAGAGCAACATCAGCTCCTCCTCGGGTCTCCAGCTGCATGATGCTCAAACTAGAAAAACAGCAGCAAACAAAAAAACTTCACCTGGTTTTTCTAGTTTGAGGGTCGTGCAGCTGGACACCCAGGAAGGAGCTGATTTTCATCTATTTTGAGGGTCGTGGAGATGGACACCCAGGGAGGATCTGGTGTTTTTCTAGTTTGAGGGTCGTAGAGCTGGACACCAAGGGAGGAGGTACTGTTGTTCTAGTTTGAGGGTCATGGAGCTGGACACCCAGGGAGAAGCTGGTGTTTTTCTAGCTTGAGGGTTGTGGAGCTGGACATCCGGGCGGAGCAGTGTTGTTCTAGTTTGAGGATGTTTGAGGGTAGGCTGCACGACCCTCAAATTAGAAAAACACTAGCTCCCCCTAGGTCTTCAGCTCCACAAACCTCACACTAGAAAAACATCAGCTTATCCCCAGATCTCCAGCTTCACGACCCTCAGACTTAAAGAAGAGCAGCACCAGCTCCTCTCCAGGTCTCCAGCTCCACGAACCTCAAAATAGGAAAACAGATCCTCCCGGTGTCTCCAGCTCCACGATCCTCTGATCATAAAAACATTAGCCCCTCCCCAGGTCTCCAGATGCAGGAGCCTCAAACTTGAACATCAGCTCCTCCTGGTGTCTCCAGCTCCATGACCCACTGATCAGAAAAACATCAGCTCCTCTCTGGGTCTCCAGCTCCATGACCCTCAATCTAGAAAATCAGCTCCTCCTTGAGTGTCCAGCTGAAAGACCCTCAACGGGAACAATACCAGCTCCTCCCCAAATCTTCAGCTGCACAACCCTCAATCTACAACATCAGCTCCTCTCCGGGTCTGCAGCTGCAAGACTTTCAAACTAGAACATCAACTCCTCTCTGGGTCTCCGGTTCCATGACCTACAATCTAGAACATTAGCTCCTCCCTGAGTCTCCAGCTGAAAGACCCTCAACGCGATCAACATCAGCTCCTCCCTGAGTCTTCAGCTGCATGAACCTCAATCTAGAACATCACCTCCTCTCCAGGTCTACAGCTGTAGGGGCCTCAATCTAGAACATCAACTTCTCTCCGGGTCTCCAGCTGTAGGGCCATCAAACAAGAACATCAGCTCCTCCCCGGGTCTTCAGCTGCACGAACCTCCATCTAGAACATCAGCTCCTCTCCGGGTCTCCAGCTCCATGACCCACAATCTAGAACATCAGCTCCTCCCTGAATCTCCAGTTGAAAGACCCTCAATGTGAACAACATCAACTCCTCCCTGAATCTTCAGTTGCACGATCCTCAAACTAGAATATCAGCTTCTCCACTGGTCTCCAGCTATAGGGCCTTCAAATTAGAACATCATCTCCTCCCCGGGTCTTCAGCTACATGAACCTCAATCTAGAACATCAGCTCCTCTCTGGGTCTGCAGCTGCAAGACCCTCAAACTACAACATCAGCTCCTCCCCGGGTCTCCAGCTCCATGACCTTCAATCTAGAACATCAGCTTTTCCCTGAGTCTCTAGCTGAAAGACCCTCAATGCAAACAACATCAGCTCCTCACTAAGTCTTCAGTTGCACAACCCTCAAACTGGAACATCAGCTCCTCTCCGAATCTCCACCTGCACAACCTTCAATCTAGAACACCTGCTCCTCTCCGGGTCTGCAGCTGCACGAACCTCAAACTAGAACATCAGCTCCTCCCCGGGTCTTCAGCTGCACGACCCTCAATCTAGAACATCCGCTCCTCCCCAGGTCTCCAGCTCCATGACCCACAATCTAGAACATCAGCTCCTCCCTGAGTCTCCAGTTGAAAGACCCTCAATGCGAACAACATCAACTCCTCCCTGAGTCTTCAGTTGCATGATCCTCAAACTAGAACATCAGCTTCTCCACTGGTCTCCAGCTATAGGGCCTTCAAATTAAAACATCAGCTCCTCCCTGAATCTCCTGCTGCACAATCTTCAATCTAGAACATCCGCTCCTATCCGAGTCTGCAGCTGCACGAACCTCAAACTAGAACATCAGCTCCTCCCCGGGTCTGCAGCTGCACGAACCTCAATCTAGAACATCAGCTCCTCTCTGGGTCTGCAGCTGCAAGACCCTCAAACTACAACATCAGCTCCTCCCTGGGTCTCCAGCTCCATGACCCTCAATCTAGAACATCAGCTTTTCCCTGAGTCTCCAGCTGAAAGACCCTCAATGCAAACAACATCAGCTCCTCCCCGAATCTCCAGCTGCACAACCTTCAATCTAGAACATCTGCTCCTCTCCGGGTCTGCAGCTGCACGAACCTCAAACTAGAACATCAGCTCCTCCCCGGGTCTTCAGCTGCATGAACCTCAATCTAGAACATCCGCTCCTCTCTGGGTCTCCAGCTCCATGACCCACAATCTAGAACATCAGCTCCTCCCTGAGTCTCCAGTTGAAAGACCCTCAACGCGAACAACATCAACTCCTCCCTGAGTCTTCAGTTGCATGACCCTCAAACTGGAACATCAGCTCCTCCCTTAATCTCCACCTGCACAACCTTCAATCTAGAACACCTGCTCCTCTCCGGGTCTGCAGCTGCATGAACCTCAAACTAGAACATCAGCTCCTCCCCGGGTCTTCAGCTGCACGACCCTCAATCTAGAACATCCGCTCCTCCCCAGGTCTCCAGCTCCATGACCCACAATCTAGAACATCAGCTCCTCCCTAAATCTCCAGTTGAAAGACCCTCAATGCAAACAACATCAACTCCTCCCTGAGTCTTCAGTTGCACGATCCTCAAACTAGAACATCAGCTTCTCCACTGGTCTCCAGCTATAGGGCCTTCAAATTAGAACATCAGCTCCTCCCCAAATCTCCCGCTGCACAATCTTCAACCTAGAACATCCGCTCCTCTCCGGGTCTGCAGCTGCACGAACCTCAAACTAGAACATCAGCTCCTCCCCGGGTCTGCAGCTGCACGAACCTCAATCTAGAACATCAGCTCCTCTCTGGGTCTGCAGCTGCAAGACCCTCAAACTACAACATCAGCTCCTCCCTGGGTCTCCAGCTCCATGACCCTCAATCTAGAACATCAGCTTTTCCCTGAGTCTCCAGCTGAAAGACCCTCAATGCAAACAACATCAGCTCCTCCCCGAATCTCCAGCTGCACAACCTTCAATCTAGAACATCTGCTCCTCTCCGGGTCTGCAGCTGCACGAACCTCAAACTAGAACATCAGCTCCTCCCCGGGTCTTCAGCTGCATGAACCTCAATCTAGAACATCCGCTCCTCTCTGGGTCTCCAGCTCCATGACCCACAATCTAGAACATCAGCTCCTCCCTGAGTCTCCAGTTGAAAGACCCTCAACGTGAACAACATCAGCTCCTCCCTGAGTCTTCAGTTGCATGACCCTCAAACTGGAACATCAGCTCCTCCCTGAATCTCCAGCTGCACAACCTTCAATCTAGAACATCCGCTCCTCCCCGGGTCTGCAGCTGCATGACCCTCAATCTAGAACATCAGCTCCTCCCCGGGTCTGCAGCTGCATGACCCTCAAATTAGAACATCCGCTCCTCCCCGGGTCTGCAGCTGCATGAACCTCAATCTAGGACATCAGCTCCTCTCCGGGTCTGCAGCTCCATGACCCACAATCTAGAACATCAGCTCCTCCCTGAGTCTCCAGTTGAAAGACCCTCAACGCGAACAACATCAACTCCTCCCTGAGTCTTCAGTTGCACGATCCTCAAACTAGAACATCAGCTTCTCCACTGGTCTCCAGCTATAGGGCCTTCAAATTAAAACATCAGCTCCTCCCCGAGTCTTAGGCTGCATGACCCTCAAATTAGAACATCTGCTCCTCTCTGGGTCTCCAGCTCCATGACCCTCAATCGAGAACATCAGCTCCTCCCCGGGTCTTCAGCTGCACGAACCTCAATCTAGAACATCAGCTCCTCTCTGGGTCTGCAGCTGCAAGACCCTCAAACTACAACATCAGCTCCTCCCCGGGTCTCCGGCTCCATTACCCTCAATCTAGAACATCAGCTTTTCCCTGAGTCTCCAGTTGAAAGACCCTCAACGCGAACAACATCAGCTCCTCCCTGAGTCTTCAGTTGCATGACCCTCAAACTGGAACATCAGCTCCTCCCCTAATCTCCAGCTGCACAACCTTCAATCGAGAACATCAGCTCCTCCCCGGGTCTTCAGCTGCACCAACCTCAATCTAGAACATCAGCTTATCTCTGGGTCTGCAGCTGCAAGACCCTCAAACTACAACATCAGCTCCTCCCCGGGTCTCCAGCTCCATGACCCTCAATCTAGAACATCAGCTTTTCCCTGAGTCTCCAGCTGAAAGACCCTCAATGCAAACAACATCAGCTCCTCCCTGAGTCTTCAGTTGCACGATCCTCAAACTGGAACATCAGCTCCTCCCCGAATCTCCCGCTGCAGAATCTTCAATCTAGAACATCTGCTCCTCTCCGGGTCTGCAGCTGCATGAACCTCAAATTAGAACATCAGCTCCTCCCCGGGTCTGCAGCTGCACGAACCTCAATCTAGAACATCAGCTCCTCTCCGGGTCTTCAGCTGCACGAACCTCAATCTAGAACATCAGCTCCTCTCCGGGTCTTCAGCTGCATGACCCTCAATCTAGAACATCAGCTCCTCCCTGAGTCTCCAGTTGAAAGACCCTCAATGCGAACAACATCAGCTCCTCCCTGAGTCTTCAGTTGCACGATCCTCAAACTAGAACATCAGCTTCTCCACTGGTCTCCAGCTATAGGGCCTTCAAATTAGAACATCAGCTCCCCCCCGAGTCTTAGGCTGCATGACCCTAAATTAGAACATCTGCTCCTCTCTGGGTCTCCAGCTCCATGACCCTCAATCGAGAACATCAGCTCCTCCCCGGGTCTTCAGCTGCATGAACCTCAATCTAGAACATCAGCTCCTCTCCGGGTCTCCAGCTCCATGACCCACAATCTAGAACATCAGCTCCTCTCCGGGTCTCCAGCTCCATGACCCACAATCTAGAACATCAGCTCCTCCCTGAGTCTCCAGTTGAAAGACCCTCAATGCGAACAACATCAGCTCCTCCCTGAGTCTTCAGTTGCACGACCCTCAAACTGGAACATCAGCTCCTCTCCGGGTCTCCAGTTGCACGAACCTCAATCTAGAACATCAGCTCCTCTCCGGGTCTGCAGCTCCATGACCCTCAAACTGGAACATCAGCTCCTCCCTGAGTCTTCAGCTGCACGACCCTCAAACTAAAAAACACCAGCTCCTCCCCAGGTCTCCAGCTGCGCAACCCTCCAATTAAAATTACACCAGCTCCTCCCGGGTCTCCAGCTGAATGATCCTCAAACTCTCCCACTCGGATCTCCAGCTCCACGACCCTCACAGAGGAACAGCCACCCCGGCTCCTTCACTGTCTTCAGCTCCACAACCTAAGACATCAGTGGCAGCACCAGTGCCTCCCCGGACCTCCAGCTCAATGACTCTCATAGACTTAAAAGGCAGCATCGGCTCCTCCCCAAGGCTCCAGCTCCACCACCCTCAGATGTGAACAGCAGTAGCACCAGCTCCTGTCCAGGGCTTCAGCCCCGTGACCCTCCCTGAACAATCCCGTCTCGTGAAATTCAGCAGTCAAGAAAACTGCAGCGGAAGCAAATGAATAAATGTTTTGTTTTCAAATCGATGTCTCTTTTATGTTCATGAGTTAACTTTTCTACTTGCCATTGACCTTGCAATCTACTTAAGTCCAATGTGAGATAGAAACACACCATTTGAAATCATGTTTAAAAACTGAGTAATTTTTAAAATACGATCACAGCTGTAGGGCCCTAGACGCAATCTTATTTCTCTCTGCCTGTGCAGAAGTCTTATGAAAATTCAAACTACGAATTCACTTTGTTGAGATTCCCAGAATATACATTAATCCCAAATGTTACTCCCCTCCTTAAAATATTTTAACATGTTCCCCATCACCCAAGCATAAATGCCAGCTCCCATCCACAGCCCGAAGTGCCCGGCACAGCCCTGCCCTCTGCCCTGGCCTCTGGTCTCCCCTCTTACACGCCAGCACCCATCCACAGCCCACAGTGCCCAGCACAGCCCTGCCCTCTGCCCTGCCCTCTGCTGTGGCCTAAGGTCTCTCCCCGTGCCCTTCCCTTCCCACCGGACAGGCCTCTGTCCGTTCCTCAAACCGCACAGGCTCAGGCCTGACTCTGGGCCTTTGCCCTGTTGTGCCCTCTGCCTGGGGTGCCTTTCCCAGGCTCCGCATCCTCCTCTCGACTCGCTCAGCTCCAGCCTGCTGGTCGCCCCTCGGGTGGATGAACACACGGTGTCCTCCCGCCCCACCGGCCTTTGCACAGGCTCTTCTCTGTGCCAGACACACTCCCCCTCTCACCATCGGGCTTTACACTCTTTTTTTTTTTTTTTTTTTTGAGACGGAGTCTGGCTCTGTCGCCCAGGCTGGAGTGAGTGATGCGATCACAGTTTACTGCAAGCTCCGCCTCCCGGGTTCCCGCCATTCTCCTGCCTCAGTCTCCCGAGTAGCTGGGACTACAGGCGCCGCCACCTCGCCCAGCTAGTTTTTTTGTATTTTTAGTAGAGATGGGGTTTCACCAGGTTAGCCAGGATGGTCTCGATCTCCTGACCTCGTGATCTGCCCGCCTCGGCCTCCCAAAGTGCTGGGATTACAGGCGTGAGCCACCGCGCCCGGCCAGGGTTTACTCTCTAAATGCCATTCATCCTTGGAGTCTCCACTGAAATATCGCTCCCTGCCCACCCCCCTCACTGGGACTTAACCTTGGTTCGGTTGCCAACCACCGTCTCCTGACTCCAGGAAGCCAGATGCCATCCCAGCACTCGGAACCCCCCACTGCCACATTTTGCACACCGGTGATCACTGTGTTAGGTTGGTGCAGACGTCATCGCGGTTTCTGCCATTACTATTAATGAACTGCGGCAGCGGCTCCTCCCTTTTTTTGTGTGTCATTATTTTTAATGACTGCTGCACCAACCTGTTAGAATCATATGTATTTATTCATCCATCATCTGCCTTCCCGTCTAGAAAGGAAGCTCCGTGAGAACAGAGGCCAGATCTACTCAAATCACTCCAGCTTCCCCGCACACTGCTTGTCATAATCATTTCCCGACTGACAGAGAAATGCCGTCACTGTTGCTGGGATGAGGCACACGACACGCCCCTTTGAAAGCCACTGTCATGGACAGTTAGCGTTTGCTCTTCACTCCTGCACCTGTGGCGTGGCTGGGCTTAGGCTGATCTAGGTCTGGGCTTGACTCCAGGCTGAGCGTGGGAACCATGTGTGCTCCACACGCCTCTCATCCTGCAGCCAGAGCCGCTGTTCCCTGGGGCACGCGCATCTCGTGGGGAAAATCAAGAGCCTCAGAGGGCAGGCCTGGCAGTGCCCGCACGTTCCAGGCTCCTGCTTGTGCCGTGTCCATGCAAATCTCGTTGGCAGAAGCAAGTCACCCAGCCACGAGCAACACCTGTGGGATGGATAAGTCCATCCACCCTCCCTCGGGCCCTGGCTAGGCTGCACCTGGGGGAGTGAACAGATGAAGCCCAACATTAAATCACCCACAGCAAGAAATGTCGGCCTCCGTGTCCCCACGCTGGAATCATTCTTCACCAGCGGGCTCGCCTGAGCTGACTTCCCTTTGCAATGGTGTCTGCAGGTTTAGGCCAATGCTGTTCCCCGTGGAGGACAGAGAAGCCTCAATCGGCCTCCGTCTGTTGGGAAGAACAAGATATTAGCGTGGCACAAAACCACCGCGAGCCCCAGGGGTCTGCAGCCGGTGAGACGGGAGAGGGGCAGAAAACTGTGGGAACTCAGGAAAGCTTGCGTCCCCAGCCCCGCCCCTGCGTCCCCAGCCCCGCCCCTGCATCCCCAGCCCCCTTCCTTGCATGCCCCCATCTCTGCTTCCTTTCTTTCTTCCTCTGTCTTCCTTCCTTCCTTCCTTCCTTCCTTCCTTCCTTTCTTTCTTTCTTTTCTCTCTCTCCCTCCCTCCCTGCCTCCCTTCCTTCCTTTTTTTTTTTTCTCAGGGTCTGGCTCTGTCATCCAGGCTGGAGTGCAATGGCATGATCTTGGCTTACTGCAACCTTCACCTCCCAGGCTCAAGCAATGCTCCCTCCTCAGCCTCCACAGTGGCTGGGACTACAGGTGCACGCCACCATACCCAGCGAATTTTTTTTTTTTTTTTTTTAGAGACAGGGTTTTGCCATGTTGCCCAGGCTGGTCTTGAACTCCTGAGCTCAAGCAATCCTCCCACTTCAGCCTCCCAAAGTGTTGGGATTACAGGCGTAAGCCACTGAGTCCAGCCTGCTTTATTTTTCTTTACACTACTTGGAAACTTCTTCTTTCTTTTTGAGACGGAGTCTCACTCTGTCTCCTAGGCTGGAGTGCGTGGCATGATCTCGGCTCACTGCAAGCTCTGCCTCCCTGGTTCAAGCGATTCTCCCGCCTCAGCCTCCTGAGCACCTGGGACTAGAGGCGTGCACCACCACACGTGGCTACACCTTGATCTCAGAGACTTCTGTGTGGGGAAAAGAAAGAGAGATCAGCCTGTTACTGTGTCTATATAGAAAGAAGTAGACATAAGAGACTCCATTTTGTTCTGCATTTGAGATGCTGTTAATCTGTGACCCTACCCCCAACCTTGTCCTTGCAAGAGACATGTGCTGTGGTGACTAAAGGTTTAATGGATTTTGGGCTGTGCAGGATGTGTCTTTGTTAAACAAGCGCCTGAAGGCAGCTTGCTGGTTAAAAGTCATCACCATTCTCTTAATTTCAACTACCCAGGGACACATACACGGCCAAGGTTGCAGGGACCTCTGCCTAGGAAAGCTAGGTATTGTCCAAGGTTTCTCCCCATGTGATAGGCTGAAAAGGTTTATGGAGATGTTTGCATATGCATCTCAAGGCACAGCATTTTCCTTTAAACTTATTCATGTCACAGAGGTTTTTGTTCATATGTCTTACTGCCAATTTCCTCCCTACAATGATCCTATTGTCCTGCCACTCCCTTATCTTTAAGATAGTAAAGATAATTATCAATAAATACTAAGGGAACTCAGAGACGGGTGCCGGTGTGGGTCCTCTGTAAGCTGAGCGCCGGTCCCCTGGGCCCACTTTTTCTTTCTCTATACTTTGTCTGTGTGTCTCATTTCTTTTCTCAAGTCTCTCGTTCCACCTAAGGAGGAACACCCACAGTGTGGAGGGGCAGGCCACCCCTTCACTTCTGGCCTCCAGAACCGCGAGACAGTAATAAGTTTCTATTGTGGAAGTCCCCAGTCTCTGGAACACTGTTAAGTAGCCCTGGGAAGCTGGCACAGAACCCGGCCGGCCCTCCTGGGCGAGCTGCTTCCTGCCAGGCTCTGGGGTGGGGATGGCCTTTCACTGATCTCCTCCAGTGCTTGCCCCTGTTCTGACCTGTATTTTGGGAGTGTCTTTCATCTTCCTAATGTTGATAGCCTCACACAGGTGGCGTCGTGCTGGCATCCAAGAACCAGCACTCATGTGTGCAGTACTTTCAGAAATTAGTTATATTTCTGCGTGGTCATGGTCATACTCATAAATCTAATTGGACTTCTTTTTTAAGAAAGTGAAACAAAGCCTGACTTCTCCATTGTCGTGTAGGCCTCAGTTCCCGGAGTTGTCCTGTAAGTTTCGTGAAAAAAGGTGCTTCCGACCTGTACATGGGATCTCTCGGCAGCTGCCTCATAGCCTGGGCTGTGGACAGCTCTAAGGTCAGAGGAGTGGGGCTTCAGTAGGTTGCGCAGGGGTGAAATCCTGGCTGTCACCCACGAGGAAAGACCAGTGCAGCAGAATGGTCTCTGAAGCAGCGAAACATGGTCAGGAACCATCAGTCAGCGAGCCATCCCTTTGCAAGTTCTTCACAGGACAATACGTCTCAGAATGTTTAACACATTGAAGTGCCACGAGGTGGCTGACCCGTCCCGTTCCTACTGATGTACATTTGTATTCAAAGTAGAAACAGAAATCGTCTTCTACATAACCAAGTCCTGAAAATCGCTATAGCTCTTAAGCCACGTGATTCCTCAGAACCATATAAGCTGACCCACCCAGCTCATGACCACGCGGACAGACTAGGACATAACTGAAGAAGCGTCAGTATTTCATATGTATCAAATTTCATTTTTAAAAGACATTTTTAGGAGACAGAAACGTTATAGAACAAATTTTAACGTTCCACAAAAGTATAAATAGTAGAAAAGGAAACTAGGGCGTGTGAACTAGGACTCCACGAAAAGTACCCATTGGTTGAAGCTGCACAACTCCGTGGACAGAAGTTTGCATAAATATTTAAGCGATGTTAGTTCCTGAACGTCAGGACTGAACATACAAGCAAGCCGTGGCAGGTCTGCGGCCAGAGCCCTCTGGAGCCCTCGCTGGAAAGGCCCTGCTCAGGGGGCTGCCATTACTGGTTGAGGAGGGGAGATGTGCCACTCACCTCTCCCAGGGAGCCCCCGGCCACGGACTCTGGAAAGAACATGAAGAGCAGTGACCAGGCAGTGGGTGTGCCTGCGTCCCCTCCTGGGCCCCTCCTGCATCCCCTGCCCGCATGGAGGCAGCAGAGTCCACAAGCGCTCAGGGGCCACGTGCAGGACACTCCAGGAAGGACCACGCAGACTGAGCTGGGGGTCATGGAGAGAGGACCTAAGGGGAAGGGCAGATACCCCACCCCTCTCCACACTCTGCCCTCTGCCCCCTGCCCCCTGCCCCCGGCAATCACCTGGGTCTGTGGCAGCAGCTGTGGCAACAATGGCAGAGGGCCGGACCCAGCCCCGCGGGGGAATCTCCTCTCCACATGGGGCTCCTGCAGGATGGGGCCAGCCCCACTGCTTCTTTCTCCCTCATCTTCCCAGCACTTGGCCCAGGCCTGGCTCAGCCGTGAGAGTGCACAGCTCAGGAGGTAACTAAATCCCCAGCTTTCTAGCGAGAGAATGAAAATGAGGGTTCCCAGGGAGAAAAGACATTTTAGGGAGATTCAAGAGAGGGAGAGTCTTGATAAGTGGCATGTGGCCTCCTGGACTGCCCTGAGCTGCTCACATGTGGATTTGAGCTCATACGCAGACCTCAGCCTAGACCCTGGTGGTGCACACACAGGGCAGAGGCAAACAGCACTGAAGGCTTTGAGAAAGGAACTGGCTGTGGAAACCCAGACCACAAAATGTTAGTTGAAACTTGCAGCCTGAATTTAATCGGGTTAATGCTCACTAAAACAAACCAATACACAATCCACGCTCTTCACTGGAGTAAAATAAGATGCAGAGTCTCCAAACATAATATTCATGGTGTCCACAATGCAATTCAGCCTTACTAGGATATGAAGAACCAGGAAAATCTCAACTCACACAGGAACCAGTCAGCCCAGCCCATGCCAAGACGACTGAGATGTTGTGATCTGCTGACAGAAACATGCAAATAGCTATGATACAATCACTCCACCCATAGTCACAAACAATCTTGAAACGAAGAGAGAAAGGAGAAAATCTCAGGAAGGAACTAGAAGATGTAAATATAAACCAAAAGGACATCTTAGAATGGAGGGGCAATAAGTTCTTTTTGAAAAAATCCTCACTGGCTGGGATTATAGAAGACGGTAAAGAAATATCAGAATGGAACAAAGAGTCTGTGGATTCGAATATAGATCAACGGAAATTATCCAATCTTAACAACAGAGAAAAACATGAGAAAGGCATGTTTTAAATGAGAATGTCTTCTCGTGGAGACGCAGTGTGCAGACCTAGCTCGTAACTCTCCTGTCACTGGAGGGGCAGGTGAAGGAGACCTACGTGGAGATGGATTCACAAATTCCAGCAAATATGGATTCCAGGTGACGTGTGAAAAGTTAACGATGTACATTTTATTTCCTAGAGAGTGATGCACTGTGTAAAATTAAATCACCCCAAATATAATGACAGAGACAGGATGAAAATCAAAAGATGAAAAATGAAGCAAATGCCAGGCACACCCTCATAGAAGACAGTGGGATAAGCCATGTTAGTATCAGGCGTCGTAGGCCTTGAAGCAAATAAAATCACTAGGGATAAAGAGAAGAAATAAATAATGACAAAAGGGTCAAGAAAACAACAATCCTAAATGTGAATTCACAAAATGCCAGAACTCTAAAATACTTGAAACAAAAATTTAAAAACCCAAAAAGAGAAATAGACAAAGTCCACAGTGAGGAATGGTAACACTGCTCTGTTAATAAAGAGTATACTAAAAAGATAGAAAATTCTCAATAATGTAGGTTTTCACTTTTTAAAAGGTAGAAAAAGGAAACCAAAATGAATCAAAACCAAGCAGGAGTAGGGAAATAATAAAGGTAAGATCAAAAAACAACAAAATTATTTTAAAATACAATAGAGAGGCCGGGCGCGGTGGCTCAAGCCTGTAATCCCAGCACTTTGGGAGGCCGAGACGGGCGAATCACGAGTTCAGGAGATCGAGACCATCCTGGCTAACATGGTGAAACCCCGTCTCTACTAAAATACAAAAAAAATTAGCCGGGCGAGGTGGCGGGCGCCTGTACTCCCAGCTACTCGGGAGGCTGAGGCAGGAGAATGGCATGAACCCGGGAGGCGGGGCTTGCAGTGAGCTGAGATCCGGCCACTGCACTCCAGCCTGGGCAACAGAGCCAGACTCCGTCTCAAAAAAAAAAAAAAAAATACAATAGAGAAATGAATGACACCAAACCTAATTCTTTGACTAAATTTGAATAAAACTGATGAACTTCTAACAATACCATTGAATAAAAAAGGAGAGGAGGGAGACACAGTTTACCAACATTGGAAAAGAAAGATGGGTCATCGTTACAGACGCTGCAGGCATTAAGGGATAAACAGGGCATAATATGACAACTCCACACACATGAGCTCAACACTCAGGTAAAATGAATGGATTCTTCAGAAAACACAAACTCACCCATGTGAAAGCAATACCCTCAAAGGGTTATTTGCATTCCCAAACCTTCTAACAAAGAAATCTTCAGGCCCATTTTTTTGCTAAGAAATTCTAATAAATATTTCACAAAGAAATGCCATTAGTTCTACACAATGTCTTCAAAAAATAGAAGAGGAGGAGGACTTCCCAAATTATTTAATGAGAGCAAGTCATCAGGATACCAAATCCAGACAAAGAGCATTCAAATAAAGAAAGCTACAGATCAATACTCCTCATGAACATGGACATAACAGTCCTCATTCAAATGTTACCAAATCGAATCTGACAATAAACCAGGAGAGTAAAGAGTACCACACTAGAGTCGAGTGGTGCTATTTATTCCAGGAATACAAGGGTGGTTTGATAGCTAAAAAAGTAAAATCAACTAATACAATACATCATATTAACAGTCTAAAGAATAAAACAACATGATCATATCAATTGATGCCAAAAGGCAATTGACAAAGGAATATCAATTTATGATAAAAACTCAGCAACAAAGATTAGAGAACTTCTCCAACCTGAACAGGGCATCAGCAGAAGGTCTACAGCTGGCATCACACTCCACAGTGAGGGCCCCATGCTTTCTCAGTGAGATCTGGAAGAAGATAGGAATGCCCAGATTTTCCAATCCTATTGGACATCACACTTAAAATCCCAGTCAGTACAATAAGGCAAGAAAAAGAAATAAAATGCATATTGATTCGAGAGAAAACAGTGGTGTCCTTAGTTGTAGATGACATGATTTTACACACAGAAAACCCCAAGAAACACAAAAACTAAATAAATAACTCCCAGAAATAATGAATGAATTTAGCAAAGTAGAATTTATGATCAACAAACCATATTTCTACATTTACATAGAAAGCCAATCATATTTTTACATAATAACAATGCATAATTGGAGATTCAATTTTTTTTTTAAATGCCATTGTATAACAGGTCCAAACAATGAAGCACTTAGGTGTGAATCTTTCCAAACATGTACAGGATCTCCATGTACTACAAGAAGCCTATGAAGACAGTTTTTGCATGTATGTATAAATAAATGAAGAAACAACATGTTCATAGATTGAAAGCCCCAACATGGTAAATACATCAGCTCTCCCCAAATCGACCTGTAGATTAATGCAATTCCAATTAAAATCCCACAAAAATGTTTAAACTGAGTTGATTCTAAACTTCATATGGAAAGGCAAAGGACAGAGAATATGCAACTTAATACTGAAGAAGAACAAAGTTGGAGAAAACAAAATTAAAACTACTTTTTTAAGACTTACTGTAAATCTGCAGTCATCCAGACGGCGGCATTTGCAGAGTAGCAAACGTATAGATCCTTGAAACAGAATACAGTGTCCAGAACACAAATACGCCAAATATGCAGAAGGAGCTCATGGAGGGAAGGAGCCTTTCCAACAAACCGTTATGAATCATGTTGACAGGCGTGTGCAAACATCCTCGATCTAAACCTCACATCTTATGAATATTTAACTGAAAGTAATCACAGACCTAAATGAAAACTACGAAAGTATAAACATTTTAGAAGAAAGCGTAAGAACTCTTCATGGCCTGTTATTAGGCAAAGAGTTTACTAAAATCAGGTTTAAAAATTGATGTACTCCATCACAATGTTCAAAATTAAACTTTGTACTAAACAATATCTCAATTCAATTGCACCCTGGTAAAAAGCCAATTCTAGCTGGACGTCTCAGAATCCTCTGCACCAAGCGTGGAAGGATGCTGGCTTCCCACACCTGCTGTAGTCAGTTGCCAGAAACCCAGGGGCTTAAAGCCATCGAAGCTTCCCCCACAGCTCTGGAGGCGTGAGGTCCAAAACCAAGGTATGGGCAGGGCCTGCTCCAGTCAAGGCCTCTCGGGTCTGTGGGATGTGGCGGACGGAGGAGGCACCTGTGGGACGGTCGTCACATCAGTCCCAGCAGAAGCGCCCGAGCTTCCCGCAGCAGCCTGAAGAGAGTTGGGGAGGGGCAGTCGGCAGCTGCGCCCTCTCTGTTTGAGCAGAAACCGGAATAAAGGCGCAGGTGGCTGCAGCTGCGTCCAGCACCACCGATGGGGCCTTTGTGAGCCATGGCCACACCGAAGGACCTCAGTATCTTCAAAGTGCTCAGACGTAGCAGAAAACCAGTTGGCAGGAATATTTGCTCCCTCACCGACACGCAGACAGCCTGACCGTGGTGTGAGTACAGAGACCAGGGGGTTCCTTCCGAAGGCTGTTTAAATTCCCATCGTGTTTTCAGCTGGGCATTCATTTAGTGGTCTTGCCTTTGTGGATTATAAAAATCAATGTTCTGTTTGTTTCTGTCCCTCAAACGCACTCAGTTAACCTGCTCCCGTCCCCAGAAGGCGACTAACACTTAAACCGCTGGTCAGCTTGGTCATTACCCCAACCCTGCATGACGGTGGAACCATCAATACAACTTACCTTTGATCTTTTTTTCCTCCCCAAGCACCAGCTCAAAGGAGGCCAGTGGGGTCCCTCTGGCTGGGGAACGTTGCGCCGGGCCCAGGAGCTTCACCCCCTCCTGACGTGATGTGTGACTCTGGGACCTCCTCACACTCCCGGCCCTGCAGCCCCCTCCCCTGCATGCCCGTTCCTGGGAGAGTCTCAGGGACTGTCCAAGAGCACACCTGGCCTTTTCTCTCCATGACCTTCTCCTGGGCTCAGATCAGCACACGGAGAGCCAGGATGGAGAGCTCAGGCCTCAGCTTCCCTCAGCGCGGCCCCAGGGCCTGCGGTGGTGATTGCCTGAGGCTCCCCACGTGTGGTGGGCAGGTGTTGCTGCCGGTGTTGTGGTGGGGGGTGCTGGGGTGGACGGGTGTTGTGGCGGGTGTTGTAGTGGGCAGGTGTGGACTCAGGTGTCGTGGTGGGCGGGCGGGTGTTGTGGTGGGCAGGTGTTGTGGTGGGCAGGTGTGGACTCAGGTGTTGTGGTGGGCAGGTGTTGCCACAGGTTTGTCACCTCTTCCTGCCCCAGGAAAGTGCTGGTTCCCAAGAGCACTCCCAGATGTTAGGTGGAGGTTTTCCACTGTGGGCTCCAGCCTGAGTTCTGGGCCCTGGGAAATTCTCTCTGGACGCTGTGCTCTCACCCCGTGCATGGACATTGAGCTATTGGTAGGTCTTTACAAACAATACTGGGTCCACTATTCTGAGACAAGCTGAACTCCTGTGTGAGACACCACATCTGAAACCAGGGCCAAAAGCACAGATGGAGTCTTCCTTTGCTTCCCCAAAGGAAGGGTGCACAGGAGCCTGGCACTCCTGGACCTGAGGAAACCCTGAAAAGTGTTGGTATCTGCAGATCCTCTCCAAAAAGAGTTGGCCCATCTCCTCAGACTGCAAGCTGACCCCAGCATTCTGGGAGCCAAGAGGGAGAAAGAGTCTGCGGATCTCCCTGCTCAGTAAATGGCTTTCACTAAATACTCGCTTTGCATAAGCAGCATTGCCCAGTGTCCTGGAGCTTAGAAAAGTTCTGTTTCAATGTCTGAAGAAAACGAATTGTTTCTTTTTCCGATGTCAGGGAGGAGCATTTGACTGCCAGGGTGGACTGAGGGGTCTTGGGATCAGCTGCCTCTGTAGGCATCTCTCTTCCCAATGTACTTTGAACCGACCCTCTGTGTCTGCCTCACCATCTCCTCTGCTTACCTAGACACTTGGGAACCCTAACACAAGCCCTTCTAGGAGTCTGTGGTGTGGCTCAGCTGTCTCTGTAGGCATCTCTCGGGGTTAAACATTTTCGACTCTGCTAAGGCAGGGCCATCCATTCTTCTGCTTCATCTTCAGAAGACACCGAGCCCTTCCCCACCCTCCACACCAAGTCCACGGCGCCCTCGAGGCCATAGGGTTGCTGCCACAGGATTTTTGAATTGACTGCTCTCACTCCAAGCAACTGTGAGAGATTTCTATGGCAGGGCCTCCAGGTTCCTGTCAAATTAAATTGTAGTTGAGTGTTGGGTGCTATTCAAGAAGCATCCCCCTTTCTCCTTCCTAACAGAGCCCTGAATTATTCAGTCACGTGGTTTGAAACATGGGGTGGGTCCTGGTTGACTTAACCAGCACTGTCTCACCATGTGTCAGTTACTGGTTCCGAGGTGGGTGCATAACTGAGGCTCATGCCAGGTGCCACACAGCACTCCCTTGGTCCCCCTAATGGACTTGGGGATGGGCAAGGGCCTGAGTTGTTCCAATTAGAGTCAAATACAAGTTGTGCTAGGTTGTTAGGAACAAGGCTTTGCTTGTTCATGCTCCCTCTTTGGTGAAGAATGCAACCTCAGAAATTGTTCCTGGAGATTTTGCCACACGCAGAATGATTCTGACTTCACTGAAGGCAGAGCAGAAAATTGGGAAGAGGCTGAGTCCTGGTAGCATCCATGAGCTTCTGTACTCAGATTCACCCTGAAGCCTGGCCTGCTTCTGAACTACGCACCTGAGTCAATACATTCCCGTGTATTTAAAGTCAAATTGAGCTGGATTTTTAGTTACTTGCAGCTGCAGGTGTTCTGTGAAGCTGGTACTGTGAGTTTGCATCTGAGAATATTTACAGTGTTTCTCTCATGGCTGAGTCAATCATTTCAAGGATGCTCTGAGGGTAAAAAGAACGATCAATTGTGAAGCAGTGAATTGTGCTGCCAGGCACAATTCATTGGACAATAGAAAGCCTCATTTCCTGGGCAGTAGAAAGTTTCATTGTACACAAATTACATATCTTGTTTCTGTCTCAACCTCTTATTTTTTCGTATGCAAAGGAGGTAAGGAAGTCCATATCAGTCCAGCAGCCGATATGCCTCTCAGGTGTGATCCAAAGCAGAATTGAATTACACAAGCATTGTTAAAATTCATCGTCATTATTCATATTTCTGAATATTTAAATTAGAAATTCTGAAAAAGCAGTTTGTTTCAGAGGTAGTTTGTGTGTATGTAGGTGTTTTGTCAGGATCAAAAGTTTATTCTTTATTGTCTGATTGAGTTTAATTTACATACAATAGAATATAGTAATTTTAAGTGTACAAATGAATGCATTTTGATGAATATATATAGTCATGTACACAACACTACCATTGAAATGCATTTCATTACCCCAGAAATTCCTTTGCATGCTGCTGTAGTTAGTGACCCCTGCCCCACACCACAGCTCCTGGCAGTTGCTTTCTTTCACTATAGTTTTGTCTGTCTTAGAATTTAATACAGGCCACGTGCAGTGACTCATGTCTGTAATCCTAGCACTAGACTGAGAAGGGAGGATCATTTGAACAAGGAGTTTGAGACCAGCCTAGATAACATGGCAAAACCCCATCTTAAAAGAAAAAAATCACACACACACACAGATGAGCCAGGTGTGGTGGCACACCCCTGTAGTCCCAGCTACTTGGGAGGCCGAGGTAGGAGAATGGTGTGAACCCGGGAGGCAGAGCTTACAGTGAGCCGAGGTTAGGCCACTGCACTCCAGTCTGGGCGAGAGAGCGAGACTCCGTCTCAAAAAAAAAGAAAAGAGGCCGGACGCAGTGGCTCACGCCTGTAATCCCAGCACTTTGGGAGGCCGAGGCGGGTGGATCACGAGGTCAGGAGATTGAGACCATCCTGGCTAA